GACTGGATGTTAAAATAAAATAAAGTAAAGTATGGATAAAGTTGTGTGTATGATTGATTATCGAAAGTGTCGTGTTAGGCCACAACTATGGTTCACAGAAAAAAAGACTTGCGTGATGAAAATGAGGTATCTAGACGTATTTCCGCTTTTAAATCAAGATTCCCAAGGAGACCCTCTTGATTGCATCCCCCCCCCCCACATACCCCAAAAAAAAGAGCAGTAGATGTACTGAATGCAACTGAGATAAGAGAGAGATCAAATTTAAGTACCTGGCACCCATTACTATTTGGTCCACTATTTGCCTGCCATAGAAGAAAAAAATAAATATCTTTTAGTAACCTGATGTTATCTTATCATCAAACTCACATCAGCTAACAAAACGTTCGACAACCAGAACAAAAAGAGGAGCCGGAGACAGAGTGCAAGACAAGCAACATAACATCTTACATCTAGATCAAAATTATGAGGACACATAATAACTGGTCACCACAACCTTTATTTCCCAGAAAGTGCATGATGGCCCTTTATTTTTACAATGGCATTGTGTACACCATCAATCCCAAGACATTCTCATCCATGTGCAATCAAGGATCGTATGCTGGAGAATAGATTTTCTGGCTACTGATGGATTTACGAATCCATGACTTTCCACCATGTAGTTTCTTGATAAATGAAAACACCGTGCTTTTGCTAGGAGTTGAATGTTACAACGTCTTTAGCTTGAGTCAAGAAATGTTCAGCATGAGCCAGAAAGAGGGCAAAGACTGCCTTCCAATAATAAGGTTTGTAGAAGGTTGCCTCATGGAAAGAAGACAACTTAGTCACTGTTAGTGAAGGATTTAGCTTTTCACCCTTTATTTGATAATGGTTGGTGTGTCTGTTTATTTCTTATTTTGACAGTTTTTTCCTGGTAGTCAGACTTAGTTGCAAGTCAGTTTTGAATTTGTATTCTGGATCTGCTATACTTCTGGGGTAGTTATGATTTTAGATAGAGGTATTTGGTTCCTATGACCTAGATCATAAAAGGCCATCTAACCAGTGAATAACATATTGGGAGAAAATTTACACAGTTCTTTGTGCTTTTTTTTTCAGACAGAAAAGATAAGTAATGTTAAGGAGCCATTAAAGAGGTTCCACCCATTTACAAAAGACTTACGAGTCTCTTTAAGAGAAGATATCTAACAGATCAACAAAAGTAACTCAGTTCTAGAGAAGCAAAGTTCCTACAAGGCCGATGAGGAGGCCAACATTTAGCTGGAAGTGGTTTTTTCGGAGGATGAAATCATTAGCTGCCTGCGTGATTGTAATGGGGATAAAGTCACAGGGCCGGATGGCTTTAACACGAGATTTGTGCAGGAATTCTGACCGGTGTTGAAGGAAGATGTGCTTGAAATGTTTAAAGAATTCACAAATCTGGCTCATTTGTTAAAGCACTCAACTCCACATTCCTTGTCTTAACTCCAAAGAAAGAAGGGGCAAAAAGCTTTAAAGACTTTACGCCTATAAGTCTGGTTGGATGTATTTATAAGCTGATCTCCAAGGTACTTGCTAAATGCCTATCGAAAGTCTTAAGCTTGATAATTAGCAACTGTCAACATGCTTTCGTGGGGGAAGGCAGATTACGGATGCTATTTTAATTGCCAATGAAGCTGTTGACGACATGATAAACAATAAGAGAGACGGCATTCTTTGCAAATTCGACATGGAAAAAGCCTTTGAACATGTTTGTTGGGACTTTCTTAATTATGTGCTCAATAGGATGGGTTTGGCAGAAAGTGGAGAAAGGTGGATCAGATGGTGTATTTCTTCAGCCACTTTTGCAGTCATTGTTAATGAGGGGCTTTTTTTTTCCTTCACGGCTTCAAGGGGCTTAAGACAAGGGGACCAGTTGTCTACCCTACTGTTCATTACTGCCATGAAGGCCTTGAGAAGACTGCTGGAGCAAGCAAAGGAGATGAATCTGCTTAATGATATTAACATTGGGGGCGAAAGCTCACAAACTGAATTATCTCATATTTTCTTTGTGGACGACACCCTAATATTTTGTCAGCCAGAGACTTCCATGCTGCTCAATCTGAGATGTGTCTTACTCCGCTTCCAAGCTGTATCGGACCTCAAAATAAATTTGCACAAATTTGAACTTGTGAGGATAGGTGATGGCAGCGATGGGAAGGCCCTTGCTCGGGTTTTGGGGTGCACTTCTTCTCAATTACCAATTAATTACCTCAGTCTCCCCTTAGGTGCCAAATACAAGGATGGAGGAACTTGGAAGCCTATCATCAAACTTTTTTAGAATAGATTAGCTGCCTGGAAAAGGAAATTCCTCTCCAAAAGGGGTCGATTGACACTGATGAACAGCATTGTTTCCAACCTCCCCATCTACTACATGTCATTGCTCACCTTCCATTCCAAGGTAGCAAAGAAACTGGGGACCATCCAATACAGATTTCTTTGGCGGGAAAATGAGGATAACAAAAAATACTATCTGGTTAAGTGGGAGAATGTTAACATCCAATGAGGCTCGGGGAACTTGGTTTGAGATCGTTGAATCAGCTGAATAGATCTTGGCTGGGCAAATGGGTCTGGAGATTTTGGGAAGAGGAAAATAGTTTATGGCTAAAGATAACTGAGGCAAAATGGGGTAAGAGGATCAGAATTGGCCCTTCTGTCAGAAACTGGGAAAACAGGAAACATGGTGTGGGCTTCTGGGATGCAAGAAACTGTCCTTCAAAAAACTAAATGGAAGGTTGGCAGAGCCAACAAAACATACTTCTGGCGAGCTGTTTGGTGTTGCAATGTTAGTTTTGAGCTCAAGTTCCCTCAAATATTTGCTATAGCCCAAAACAAGCATATTTTAGTTACTGATGCTTTCAACAACAACACATGGTCAGTGAACACTTCAAGGAATCTTCAGGACTGGGAAATCAATGAATACACTGAGCTTCTTCAGCTTCTCGCTATTGTTCGCTTCAATGATAGCCCTGACAAGCTCCTTTGGGATCTAAAAAAAATGGAAAATTCTCAATTACCTCTCTTTGTAGTCACCTGATGGACTTTAAGGAGTTTGGACAGTATGGTTTCCCTACAAGAATGGTATGGAAGTCTAAAGCACCTACCCAAATTTCTTTCTTTGCTTGAGAAGTGGTTAAGGACGTATTTTGATAATTGATAATTTGATGAAAAGTGGAAAAATTTTGGCCAACAGATGCTTCCTGTGCAGAGAATATGCCAAATCCAGCAATCACATCATGCTATGGTGCTCCTTCACCTACAGCCTCTGGAATACTCTGTACAGCCTTTTGGGTCTTAATTGGGTTATGGCTGTGTCAGTGAGCAATGAGCTTTTAGCTTGGGAGGGGATTTGTAAGGAGAAGGGCGTGTCTCGTCTCATACCCTTGTCTCTCGTGTGGGTCATTTGGAAAGAGAGAAGTAAGAGGGTTTTTGAGGGCAAAGAAGAAATTCTTGCCAAAATTAGAGACAAATGACTACATTATTCTGGTTCCATGGTTTTGGTACATGACATTTATAGCTTAGAGGATTTGGCATCATCGTAGATATACTCACTGATTACTATTAAATTTTTTGTATATGGGTGGCACCCTTTTGTGCCTTCGCTTAATATACTACTTACACTTTTTTATCTAAAAAAAAAAAGGTTCCTACAAGGCCTCTCTCTCACCTGATCAACAGCTGCTGCCAGCCTAGCTGGTTGGAGCAGACATGCTGATTGCAACAACCAAAAAACTCCTAGTTATTGAGTCGAAATCCTTCAATTTTGTAGAAGAGATCAAGGATGTTTTAGCATGACAGAGAAAGGTTCAAACGCCATTTTTTCCACTTGTTTTGTTTACTCGCAGATAAGCTGGCTTTTCAGGAATCCACAATATAAGGACACAGTAGGATCCTGACTGTTTCTCTGGGTAGGAAGGTAAAGGAAGATTCTTACAACAGAGAGAGCAAAACAAGCACAGAAAAGAAAATTTGTATCCCCATGGCAGACAATGTTCTAGACCATGTGTTAATAGTCCTTATTGATTGATCAAGTTACAGGTCAATGCACATGAAAATTAGTAGGTACTAGAGAATAGTTTTTGCGTCTTTCCTCCTTTACCTATGTTTGGAATTAAATATGGACCTCATTAAGACTGTCCATATTTTGGTTATACTAGTTCTCCACTTTTTCTCTTTGTAAAATATATATATATATATGTATATACATACATATATGCATACGCTCCTCAATGCACAGGAAATTCAGTTTCTTTCTAAATTCCATCATAGCCGTAGACTCCTTTCTGGATGGAACTCTACTTCCATTGTCATTTGTGTTATTGATTTTCTATTAAAAACAGCTAACAGAATTTGCAGCCTCATTACCCTCAAGCCGAGCACACGTTAATTCTAGCACATACATGCTCTCTCTGCATGTATCTTGCGCATTATCTTCTCTGCTTTCATCAATTTTTTTTCCTCGGTCTTCATTGCTGCACAGCTGATGTCGACCTTCATTGCTGGCTTCCTTACTGGACTTGAATTCTTTATCTACAATCTTAATCGCTAGGGCCCTTGCAAGAGTAGAGCCGATGCCAGAAATGACACAGATGATATAATCTTTAAACAACACTGCCCAAACTGGGGAATTTCCTATCAACCAATCGGTAGGAGAGCTCCAAAATATTCAAACAACATATAGATTGAATTGGAAGAATTATCTTAAGTTGTTCCAAGTTATTCGAACCTCTTTGAACGAAAAAGGAAAACTTAGTCATCTCTTAGGGACGAGATTAAAAGATTTCCATTTTGATGCGTGCAATGAGATAGATTCATAATCATGTCATGGTTATGAAACTCAAAGAATCCCGAGATCAGCAACATTTGCATAGTTCTACCATGGTTAAAGGGGCTTGGGTTGCTATTCAACATATGTACTCGAAGGCCTGTAATGCAACATAAATGTATGAGATTAAATAACATTAGGATGACGAAACAAGGCAGCCAAACTGCTACAAAGTGGGCAAATTTATTATAAAGCCAATGGCAAGAACCTTGGTGTATGGTGGGCGGGATGATTTTGGAAGGGTATTTGATGTACTTACTGATTTATAAATAATTGTGTATGGGGGTACACCCTCCTGGTGTCATATGTGTAATATACATATTTTTATTTAAAAAAAAAGAACCCTGGTGTATGGATTGCTGGGTATTAGTTGGGTGATGGCAGGCTTGATGAGAGAAGAAAACTGAGTGCGGAAGGGTGTGAGTAGTGGGAGGGAAAAGTGGAAGTAATTCCGCTTTCTGTCTGCTAGATGGTTTGGAAGAAGAGGAATAGAAGAGCTTTTAAAGGAGTTAAGGATGTAAATAGTTTAGATATTCTTAAAGAATAGATGGTTTCAGACCATTAGATGGCTCGATTTATTTGGGTCACTTTTATTTGGGTATTGATTTGTATAGAGTTGAAGATTTTAGATATGTGATTGACTGCCTTATTGAATTGTAAATATCTTATGGGTGGCACCCCCTTAGTGCTTTGTTAATATATTTATACTTTTTATTTCAAAAACTCTAATTGATTTGTAAATTTTTTATATGGGTGGCACTCTCTTGGTGCCTATACTTATATTTTTCATACTTTATATTTCAAATAGCCTACGACAAAAACATGACCATTATCGGTGCACCGAAACTAAGTGCATAAACTATAAAATAATTTTGAAGAATCTTATTGAAAATATAGTTTAAGATGCTCTTGCATGTTCAAATACGAATTTGATCAACTCAAGGTCCATATTCTTGGCACAGAAGTGGTGCTAGACAAGATTATTTTTTTAAGACAAGTCAAGAGAAGTTGCATGAGAGTCATGTTTGAACCACAAGGCCTAGAAGTTCAGTAGTGGTGACAAAAAAAGAACTCCAAATACAAGAAAATGTGTGTACTGACTTTTGAGCAATGGCTCAAGGAATATGCGGATTATTATGGTTAAAATGAATTTAGAAGATCTGAGAATCAAGTAAAAGAGCTTTATGTGTCTATATTGTGACAATAAATCAGCCATAAAAATTGCACACAATCTGGTACAACATGATCAAATTAAATATAATAAGGATGACAAAAGAGAAACTTGAAAGCAGCCTAATATGCACTCCATATATGTCTACCAGGTCATAACTACAAGATACGTCAACTAAATACTTGAGCAGTCCAATATTCCAAATTATTATTGGCAAGCTGGGAATAGACAACATCTATTCCTCAGCTTGAGGGAGTGATAAAGAGAGTGTATTATATGTAAATTATATTAAAGGGCATTAGGGTCAAATACATCCTACATAATTAATTGTTTTTTTTTTTCTATTTTAGAAAACCTGTATATAAAAGGCTGTGATATTCAATAAAATACACGTTCCATCATTCTTAATAAAAGAAATTAGAGAAGAATTTAGAAAAACGTTTCTTGAGTACTCAACTCTTGGAGATTTTAGGGTTCCTTTTTGACGAGTTCGTACTTTTTTTTTCAAATAATAATGAGTTCATACTATGCTCTATCATATAATAAAATTCTAAGTAGGGACTACAACACCTATACTTGAGTTGGCAGTTTATATGATTTGAGCAAGCCTATCTGTAAAGCATTTATTCATCCTATTGCAAGAATAAATTCTGTTTTGCAGTAAAGAAAGGAATTACAGAAGAATTTAGAAAAAAAATTCTTGAGCAATCAAACAAGCCCATATCTTTAACCTATTCTATAACAAGATACTAAGTAGGGACTGTAACACCTATACTTGAGTCCCAGCAACATAGCTTACTAGTATAGGTTAAAGGTCTTAAAACTTCAGAAGGAATTGGAGAAGAATTTAAAAAAGTTCTTTCGAGAAAGCAAACAAGCCCATATCAGTATCGATCGCGTAACAAGATTTTAAGTAGGGACTATAACACCAATACTTGAGCCCCAGCAACATAGCTTACCAATATAGGTTAAAGGTCTTAAAACTTCACTTTCTTTATCAAGGAGAGGATGTTTGTCGTAATGCATGCGCAAATTGGTCCGGAAGCCAACCAACAGCTACTAACTAATATATTAGTGAGAGTATAAAATAGACTATTTTTTTATATTTGTAACTAATATATTAATAAATTCTAAAATATCAGAATTAGTGCTTCTAAATTTGAAAATACCATACACTAGGGTGAATAAATGCATGTTAAATAAACCAACAAATGTGGACATCAAAACCATTATGTTCCTATTGACCCTTTTATCACCCAAGCCAAGAGATTTGGGTCTATTCACTTATACACATAATGGATGTTTGCATTAACAAGCAAAGACTCAAAAGAGAAAACAGAGCAACAAAATCCAAATAAAATTTGATCACAGAAGACAAAAAATTCACACAACAAGGAAGAAGAACAGCATCATTCAACAATAAGGGAACGTAAAGTCAACATTCATTTTATCCCAAAAACCAAAAGCATACCATTGATAGCAGGCCAGGGCCAGTATGCTTGGCAATAAAATTTTCATCTTCAAACTTATGCCCGTATATTGAAACACATCCACTGCCATCATCCTGCAAAGAGAGACTGAAATATAAAAAGCACTCCGAAGCAAACAAGCCAAGATCATAGGCTATTGTTATTCCTTTTTTTCCTAAACGATTAAATATTATTTTTATAGATAAAGAAATATATTAGATAAGGAAAGGAGAGATACAACCAAAAGGAGAATAGCCCATCCTCCAAAAAGAAAACGAGGAAATAAAAAACCAAAACAAAGTTAAAAAATAAAATTTCAATACAAAATAGTAATTCAAGGGGTATTAACCTTTACAAAATCTCCAGCTTGAATCATAAAATCCTTGATCACCCCTGTGAAATTGGCATCCTTTGAACCCAACAGGCAAGCCAGCTTTTCTGCCAATCTCATTAAATTGGCGAAATTAGCTAAAAAATGTTGTAACATGCACAAGGGAATGACAAACAACCATAATAGCTCAAATGTGGCAGAACAACAGTCAATCACCAAATTGAAATTGTCATCAACAACAAGCAACATTTCCTACTGAGATTTTGCAAATTCAAAGGTCAAATAGAGCTTTCTCGAGATATATGTATAATGTGTTGCCGGGAGAGACTTGCTCCCATTTGTTTTTACACTGTGATGTTGTTTGGTGTTTGCGGATGCGGCTGGTTGGGTTGTTTGGCTGAGGCTACTCCCTCAACCAGGGAGTTGTTTTGAGTCCTTGTATTATTCAAGGGGATGAAATACAAAAGGAGGCAAACTCCTGTTGAGAGGCGCAACTTTTGCGGGACTATGGGCCCTATGGCTTGAAAGGAATAAACGAATCTCTAATAATTGCTCTCCATCTAATGAGGATCTATAAGAAAGGATGATTTTTTTGGCCACACATGGGCAAAAGCTTATGAACAGTTTCCAGATATTGCTCTCTAGGTGTTACAAAAGGAATTAAGAGGCAGTAATCTTGTAATGACATGGGATTTGGAATCTACTCTCCTCTGCTTAGTCTTTTGAATTTTGAACTTTCTTTTTGTTTTTTTTTTTAATTTTATTTTTCTAGACGATGTCTTATTCTCTACTGTATTTTCTTTTTCTTCCTAATATTACTTCTTTTTCCTTTTAAAAGAAAAAAAATCAATAGTTTTTGCTTGATTCTTAATTCTTGAAAGAAAAAAAAAAGATACAAAAAGGACAAAGCTAGGATAGCATCGTGAAATCCATTAACCTATTTACCATACAATATAAAAATGATAGAGTGCATACCTGTACTCTCCAGTGCAGAACTGCCTGCCAAAAGAAAAGTATTTATTAAAACAAAAGTCTAATTAAATATACATATTGTTTTTCAGAACAAAAAATAATATATATTTTGAACAAACTAATTCTAAAGCACATGTAACAGAATCACAATGCCATAAAATCACGTTAGAGCTAACGAAACAAGATTATGCTACACATGATATACCATTCGAAAAGAAAAACCGATTGTACCTATTCTTTAAATTTGAGGAAAATTAAACAGATGCACAACCTACACCATCCCTCTAGTTTATGAATGCTACAAACTGTGAGAGCATAATAAGGCCAAGTTGTAACAATTGGTAAGAGGGAGTGGCATTATAATCTTTATAGCATGAGAATTAGTAAATTTGCTTGTTTCTGGAATTCTTTTAGCAAATGAAAGATACAGATAGGATCATAATGGGGGAGGCCAATATTGCTATGTTATCAGGGTCCATTGGTTGTGATGTGTTATCTTTGTGATATAGGACAAATAGAGTTGATATGTCCAATTATGGATTTGGGGATGAAAAATATAAACACCAACATCTAGAGTTTCTTACACATCATATCTAAGAAATCTTATGCATCACACCTAATGATTTGATTGCATTATACAAACAGAAAATTAAAAATACTCAAAATATTTTATTGAATAACTTGAATAAATCTGCTCAAGAAATTACAACCACATTTGTAGAGTACTAAGTAGGTCTTTCCAAACTAGATTAGGAAATACCACATTTACCTCTGCACCATTTATTTTCGATAACACAAATTTTCGCTCCCAAACTTAATTTCCTGGCTCCACCGCTATTGGGTTTTGTGGTTGGATCATAACATAAGGATCTTCAAGGACATATTTAACTACTCGTCCTGTTTGTGGGACAGACTGCCTTCTTTTCTGCTTTGTGGGCTAAGACTCACGGCTTCTTTGGTGATATTCCTTCATACATGCAAAGTAGTTGGCTTCCTTACCATTTTGATGTAGTTTCACTTTTCATTAGTTTCTTATCTGAAGGACCTCTTATCCTCTGGTTGTGTATTTTCTTTTCTTCTCCATAATAATCTTCTTTTTTTATTAAAAAAATGAAGATGCATATTTAAGATTAGACATTCACAAACTAATTTGTCAATTAAATTTCCTGTCAATCATTTCACCGACTTTTATATGTACTTCTCGGCTCATATTCAGAGATACGTAAATCACTTTGGCAACCAGCGTACAACTTCAATCAAACAACATGATCTTTTCTTTTTGTTTTATTAACAAAAGTTTACACGACAATTGATAAAATATACAAGCAAAATTTCCATATCAGCATGACAGTTAACATTTGTTTGAATTATAACACCTGAACTTCATTTCCAATAACTCTGATCTTAAATTTCTTTGCCTTGAACTTTCACAGGCTTCAATATTTCACTTGATGCCGACCAAAAATCCGTATGAATCAGTTACCAGGAACGAACTATCTAACTAGGGCTAGCGTATTAAAATTGTTTTGTGCGTGATTCCATTTCCACCTCCGTCCATGTCTTGTTTAAGAAAGCATCCATTTCAATATCAAAATAAATCCACTTAGCGCCCACAGTGAACCAAAGCAAAAAGCACCACCACAATCACTTGATAAAGATCATTTAACTATCCTAAGTAAAAGAATCAGGCATGAGAGTAAACAAACACAAAATGCCAGTAGAAGAACACACCAGGTGAGTAAAAGCCAAACAGCGGACCGACATATCCACGTACTAAAAACAAAACTAAACCGGAGAGAAACCGAAAAAAAAGAAAATCGAAATAGTGAAGTATTGTCGATAATTGTAGCATGAAGAAAGTTGCAGGACCTGAAATTTTCGGCGGTTTTAGGAGCAATATCGGCGAAGAGCTCCATCTTGATACGACCGGCATCAATGGTGCCTATGGTAATATCGAAGAAAACAATCGGATTTTTAGGGTTTGGAGGTCGAACGTGCCATTCCACGCTTCCTCCTCCCCCTGCCACCGTCGGAGGTACGGCGTTTCCTCCTGACGCCATCGGTATTTGATTCTCCGCCTACTCGCTCCTTCTCCACTAATTTATACTGTAAGGAGTAAATGTCAGTACATCTACGGTCCCAACTTTATAGTATACACATTTTTTCGGAATAACCAACAAAATCAAAAGTCAACCTAATGTCATATGTAATAAATATACAAACATAGTCCTATTTTTTTACTCAGTAATTTTTTGATAAATAACTAGCTTTTGAATTAAGTATTAAAATAATTAAATATTGAATCTCATATAATCGTAATAATAATATTATCATATATTTAAATTATTTATAAAATATTTTATTTATTGTTCGGTAAATATCATATTTTAAATCAATTAATATAGTATTTTATTAATTTATTATAACTAACGATTATTATAAAATATATATAAATATAAATACATGTATCAACTATGGTTATTGATGAATAAATGCAATTATTTATATTTTTATCTTCTATTAACTCTCTCCAATTTTTTTTTTCGGTTTCTTTTATAATTGAGTTAGTCAATAATATTACTCAGTACATGCAATGATAGTAAAATTCTTAAACAGTTTTATCCATAAGTATTATAACATCAGGATAAATTTAAACTATATATATTAATAATTTTTAAAAAATTAATCAAGAGTTTTATAAACAAGTTACAGATAAATAATCCATAATATCGACATATAAAATCAAAAAATATAATACATGTAACTTATCATATGTTAATTGATAAAAGTTAAAGTTTTATGTTAAAATAAAATATATATATAAATTGACATTATTAATAATATTGGTCATAATTATTTGAAATAGTGTAAAATAAATTTTTTATTTTTGTAACTTTTTTATATGAAATAGTTTAAGAATAAATTCATACTTATGATATCGAAATAATCTATCTACCAAATAGTGCTGATACAAATTATTTTTTTATGTTACTACGTTAAGTAAATAATTCGATTATATCAAATATAATTATAGTTTTAATAAGAAAAAATGTATGTGTTTAAATCAATTAAAGTTGTTAATAAATTATAGATTTATATAAGTTATCTCTCTCACATTATATTATTATATTTTAAAATTATATATAACATGTGAACAAGTGACGATATCAATTTCTATTTGTATTATCATTTTTTTCTGATGTAATTTTATATTATTAAAAATTATGACAATGTAATATTGATGTAATTTGTTAAATTTATTATTAAATTTTAATAGCATGGAGTAGAACGATATAATTTTGAAATAAAACATATCAAAATTTAAACTATTACATATTTCAGATATTTTATTTATTATATAATTAAGTTCTAACTCATTTGAATAATTATTATTTTTTAAAAAAATTATTAACAAAATTGATTATAAATATATAAATTATAAATTATTTAAATGTTGAATAGTTAAGAAAATTAAATAAATAAATGATTTAGATTAGTAAATGTTAATATATTATATTATATATTTTAAAATCATATTGACCGGTCTGAATCGGAACCGATTTTTTCAATCCGCAATTATAGATCAAAGATCGTTCCGACATTATTTGGACCAGTCTTGACCTTATAATACACACCACGAAAGGGACTAAATTGATTATAGCACTAAAAATATGTCTTTAATTTTAAAAATTCAAAACTCTAAGGACCAATTTGAAAATACATGTAAAAATTGTTTTGGAGGTCGAACGTGCCATTGATACGACCGGCATCAATGGTACGTATGGTAATATCGAAGAAAACAATCGAATTTTTAGGGTTTGGAGGTCGAACGTGCCATTCCACGCTTCCTCCTCCCCCTGCCACCTCGGATGTACAGCGTTTCCTCTTGACGCCATCGATATTTGATTCTCCGCCTACTCGCTCCTTCTCCACTAATTTATACTGTAAGGAATAAATGTCACTACATCCACGGTCCCAACTTTATAGTATACACATTTTTCCTGAATAACCAATAAAATCAAAAGTCAACCTAATGTCATATGTAATAAATATACAAACATAGTCCTATATTTTTTACTCGCTAATTTTTTGATAAATAAGTAGCTTTTCAATTATGTATTAAAATAATTAAATATTGAATCTCATATAATCGTAATAACAAATTTATCATATATTTAAATTTTTTATAAAATATTTTGTTTATTGTTCGGTAAATATCATATTTTAAATCAATCAATATAATATTTTATTAATTTATTATAACTAACGATTATTATAAAATATATATAAATATAAATACATGTATCAACTATGGTTATTGATGAATAAATGCAATTACTTATATTTTCATCTTCTATTAACTCTCTCCAATTTTTTTTTTCGGTTTCTTTTATAATTGAGTTAGTCAATAATATTACTCTGTACATGCAATGATAGTAAAATTTTTAAACAGTTTCATCCATAAATATTATAACATCGAGATAATTTTAAACTATATATATTAATAATTTTAAAAAATTAATCAAGAGTCTTATGAACAAGTTACGGATAAGTAATCCATAATATCGACATATAAAATCAAGAAATATAATACATGTAACTTATCATATGTTAATCGAAAAAAGTTAAAATTTTCTACTAAAATAAAAGATATATAAATTGACATTATTAATAACACTAGTAATTATTATTTAAAATAGTGTAAAATAAATTTTTTATTTTTGTAACTTTTTTATATGAAATAGTTTAAGAATAAATTCATAGTTATGTTATCGAAATAATCTATCTACTAAACAGTGCTGATACAAATTATTTTTTTTATATTACTGCGTTAAGTAAATAATTCGATTATATAAAAAATAATTATAATTTTAATAAGAAAAAAATTATGTGTTTAAGTCAATTAACGTTGTTAATAGATTATAGATTTATGTAAGTTAAATCTCTCACATTATATTATTATATTTTAAAATTATATATAACATGTGAACAAGTGATGATGTCAATATTTTTTGTATTATTAAATTTGTAGTAATATAATCTTATATTATTTAAAATTATGACGATATAATATTAATATAATTTGTTAAGTTTATTATATAATTTTAATAGTATGGAGTAGAACGGTATAATTTTGAAATAAAACATAATAAAATTTAAACAATTACATATTTAAAATATTTTATTTATTGTATAATTAAGTTCTAACTCATTTGAATAATTATTTTTTTATTTATTTAAAAAATTATTAACAAAATTAATTATATATATATAAATTATAAATTATTTAAATGTTGAATAATTAAAAAAATTAAATAAATAAATAATTTAGATTAGTAAATATTAATACATTATGGTTATATATTTTAAAATCACGTTGACCGGTCTGAACCGGAACCGATTTTTTCAATCTGCAATTATAGACCAAAGACCGTTCTGATATTATTTGGACCAGTCTTGACCATATAATACACATCACGAAAGGGACTAAATTGATTATAGTACTAAAAATATGTCTTTAATTTTAAAAATTTAAAACTCTAAGGACCAATTTGAAAATACATGTAAAAGTTGAAAAGACTAAATATAAAATTAGCCTTAAAAAAATATATAATACTTCTTTTGAAGACAGAGATATTTTAACAAAAAAAAAAGGGAAAGAAGAAAGACATTCAAAACTCGTTTATCGGATCATTTTTCTATTTCTCCTCGTCTCAGATCTTCTCCTCAGCTCTTTCTCTGCCAGAGATTACCAGTGGTCTTCAGAACTAACGGTTTCAGTTGAATCCTTCGTTTTCAAAGGTTTTTGACTTATTTAAGCTCTGCCATTGACACTTCTCTTTCTTTCTCCATCTCCCGCTCAACAAGATCTCTGCACTTTCATTTCAAATTTTCTTCAAGAATCTTCTTGATTTTATGTGATTAAGATGTCCTACACTCACTAATTACTTCATTTATGTCTTAATTATGACTCCGTCGACGCATTTTCCACTCTGGTTAGTTTCATTTACTTTTTTTTAAAGTTGTATTGTTACCTTTCTGAGTTGCGGACGCTGAGGATGGAGTATAGAGGGAAGAGAATTCAAGAGCTAATGCCTTGTTAGTTTGCGAAGAAAGCTGAGTGAATGGATAAGGAAGGAAATGGATTTAGTGACTTGATTTGTTGAGTTGCTCCTGTGGCATGGTAGATAAGTTACGTAAAAGTTTGTGGAGTGGATGTTTAAGTGCCTAAGTGTTTTGGTTTCCTTTGATTTTCGTGGGAGGCAAACGGATCTGGTGTTGAATTGTTGAGGAAACTACTTGTTCGACTTAAGATGCATTTCTTTCTTCTCAGATTTTATGTTTTTCTTCTTAAGCGGCATTACAACCATTTTACACTTTTTATTTTTAAAAAACAATGTAATATGCGATTTTGCCTTTTCATTTGCTGGTATATTCGCTTTTCTCGCGCAGTCACAATAATTTGCGGAACAATGACTGACTTTGCCTTTATGTTTTTCCGGCAGGGGACGTAGTATTATTTGATGATCAATTTTAGTCTGAAGAGCTGATTTGAGCTAGTGTTTGAGCTAGTCATGGAAGAGTACGTTTCACCTCATTATTAAGCTCCTTAGTGTTAAATAACCACTTTCTGATTTTAATTGTCTTACTGTAACCACTTTCATTATATACATGCAGGGAAAATTCTATTGAGCTTTTACAACGATACCGACGGGATAGGAGAGTACTCTTAGATTTTATTCTTTCAGGGAGCTTAATTAAGAAGGTTGTAATGCCGCCTGGAGCCGTCACGCTTGATGATGTGGACTTGGATCAAGTCAGTATTGATTATGTCCTTAGTTGTGCCAAAAAAGGTGGTACAAATTTTTCTTTTGCTTTCTTCTGGTAACCGAATCTGGAATTCCCTTATGTGATTGTTTCTTGTAAATATAGGTGGAATGCTCGAACTCTCTGAAGCTATTAGGGATTATCATGACCATACTGGCTTACCACAAATGGTAAGCAAATCTTGTTTAAGAGTTAATTTCTGTTTCTTTCCATTCACTAGACCATATCAATTTTGTGTGCAGAGTCGTGGGCATTGCCTTGAACCAAATGTTGGCACATTTTCATCTTCAGTTTTGAGAAAATTTTAAGCATATACAATTGTGTCAATTATTTTATCAAATTCACCACTTGGCTATTAATGTTCACAAATAATTTTTAATTAAAAAATTAAGGCAATAGAAGAAGGGCTTTCAGAAATATTGTGATGATCAGTTTTTCTTTTCGATAGAAAAGAAGAAATTTTGTTGAGAAAAGAAGATACTGATTGGGAGGATTAGATATCCTCCAAAACAAACAAAGAACCAAAGGAATGAAAAGAGAGAAGAACTAGCTAAGTTGTAGAAAGAATAACCAGCTAATCTCTATACAAAATAGATTGGCAAACGTCTTCAAAACATCTATGGGCCTTCGCCCAAACAGAGGGGCCATCAAGATTGTTAACAGTTCAAAATAGTATGTCATGTTGTCATCTAAGCCGAGGCATAATCAAATCTTCATCCTGTATTTTCTTGAATAAAAATCTTCATCCTGTATATTCATATATATTTATATTTTGTGGTTTGCTGTCAATTTTAAGGCTTAATCTCTTTTTTTTTTTGGGTCTTATTTCAGAATAGTGTGGGTTCTGCAGATGAATTTTTTTTAGTTACAACTCCTGAATCTTCAGGGTCACCACCTAAACGCGCCCCACCGCCTATCCCTGTTTCAAGACCAACACCAACTCCTTTACCATCTGCTTTTGCACTATCACCTGCTGTATCAGCTGTACCAATATCTGAATCTTTTGATTCTATACAAGTTCAAGAGCTTACTGTGGATGATATTGAGGGTTTTGAGGATGATGATATTGAAGAAGTTAATAGCATCAGAATTTCAAGACGGAATGCAAATGATGCTGCTGATCTGGTCCTGAAGGTGCCTTCTTTTGCCACAGGTAAACAGTTGATTTGACATTATTAGGTAATTGGATTTATTTTGCCTTGTGGGATTGCCAAGAAAGTTAAGGGGAAGATTTTGAAAATGGTGGAGCCTTTGATCTTGGATTTTAATGTCTGAAAGTTTCTGAGGACTGACAATACTCTGTGTATCTTTTATTTGCTTGGACCTCCAAGGTTAACTCTTGCCATGTACTACTGGCACCATATACAGGTAGGTATTCAGTTTTTGTTCTGCTATTCTGTTTTGCTGGTTAGGAGAGAAGGGTTTATAGTCTAGAGATTAGTGACAGAACATGGAATCATTGGTAATTTCATGGAATAAACCAAAGTATGGCTTTGGCATCAGAGCTACATGACCACTTTATGCGTTTGCATTTTTATGGAAAATAGTGTACTATTTTATGTAGAATCTCAAGTATTTTGTGAATTTACAATGCATGCTGCTGTCTTTGAAAAGATCATATTTACTGTTATCAGGCATCACAGATGATGATCTTCGTGAGACTGCATATGAAGTCCTTTTGGCATGTGCTGGGGCATCTGGGTATGCTTGCCCTATCTGTTTTACTTTGAAGATTATCTTCTTTTCTTTGATTGATGTCAGTGAACTATTAATAGTGCAAATGAAGTCTTCTTCTCATCTTTATAATTTGCTGCCTATCTCCCTGTTCTTGTTTTCTTCTTTCTTCTATGCACAGGGGCCTTATTGTACCATCAAAAGAAAAAAGGAAGGATAAAAGGTCTAAGTTGATCAAGAAGCTTGGACGTAGTACAAGTGAAAGTGTCCGTCAGTCTCAAAGTGCAACTGGATTGGTTGGTTTGTTGGAAACCATGCGAGTCCAACTGGAGGTATCTCTTTCTTTCTCTATCTTGGGTGTTCTGCAAACTTTACCTCCTAGCTCCTGTAACAAGTGCTAGGATCTGATCAGAAAATTTTCAAATGCTTTCTTTATATGATGCACAAAGATTTAGCAGTCTCTTTTTTTTTTCTTTGTGCAGATTAAACTAGATAAAAGTGAGCATCTTTAAGGCATAATTCTTTATGATAGTTGTTTCCATTTATTTATTTATTTAATTATTTTTTCCTATAGTTCCAAGAAGTGAGAGGGTTAAGCTTTGTTTTTTTTTTTCACTTTCATTTATTTATTGATTTACTCATTGTTAAAATGAAATAAGCATATCCCTATATCACACTTTGTCAAGAAATTAACACAAGATAAGGATGGAAATTCAGTAAGAAGGATAGATCAACAAATTCTCGAAAGTTTTTTTTTTTTTTTACCGAAAATTTCAGTTTGGGGAACAAACCAAATCTCTTTATCTTGTTCTGGTGTTCTGTTTTACACAGAGACTGGCTGGTTATTCTTTTTTGATTTTTGCCCATTGGCTATTCTTTATGTGTTTCTGCATTATAAGGTGGCTTGGGTGGTTTGGACTAGACCTTTTTCCTCAATTCGGATAAGCTTGGTTTTTCCTCCCCAAACGTGGAGATTTCTTTTCTCCATTTTTATGTGGTCTTGGGAAAACTAAGGCACATTCCATGTTCTGGAGGGGCTAATTTGCTGGTTTTTGGGTGTTTTGGTTGGAGAGGAATGCAAGAATTTTCGGCCAGCATTGTAATTCTGTAAATGTTATTTGGGAATAGGATTATGTACATAGGGTCGAGATACATATTTATTAGGGGTTCTTCTTTCTATCCTACTGGAGGATTGGGTTGTGATCTTGTATTGGCACATTCTTTCCTTGTTTTTTTCGGTTAGTTTTCTTAATTTTTTCTCCTCTATGGTGGATGCTTCTAGTTTTTATTTCTTCTAATATTATTTCTTCTTTTTCAATAGAAAATATTTATTTTGAATTAAAGAAAGATCATATTCTTGGTTGCCTCTTCAACCAGCAAAAGGGCACTCATCTATTCTGCTGCTGATGGTGTTTCAAATAGCTGTTTTGGTGTCAAAGTTGTTGTGGCTAGTCTCTTTTGGTGGTTAACTTGAACCCGTAGTTGTTCATTATCTGTTATTTAATCTTGCTTGTTATTTAAGTCGTAATATCTGGAAAACGTAGACCCTTTGTTTTTGTGAGCTCCGTTGTGGTTTCTTTTCCTAACCTATGTATCTATACAATTAAAAAAAGGACAGTAATAAGCTTCTCAGTATTATTCCAATTTTGTTTTCTAACTGTCTAATCCTATTGATCTGTAACATGTTTTTTTAGAAACACAAATAGGATTTAACTATTTTTACTATGAACAAGTAGTTTCAAGATAATTCACAATTTGTCTGAGAATTAGAACTTTAAAATCTTTATCCATATCATCAACAACTATTACTTTGCAATTAATGTGAAATAATTTCATTAACATTTTATTGATGAATATAATTATTATATTATTGTACTGATATGGGGGCAATACTTTTCAGTCTCTTGCATTTTGTTCTGTTAAGATTAAATAGTAGTATTGTCACCATCTGTGTAGAGGAGAAGATTTTTTTGTCCTTTTCTATCAATCCTGAATCAGAGCAATGTTGATCCTTTCTTTTATTGTTATTATTATTATTATTAGTTTTCATAAAAACAACTAACTAATCGTATGTAGTGCATGTTTACTGATAGCTAGTTTATGTATGAGTTCAGATTTCTGAGGCCATGGATATTAGGACAAGACAGGGCTTGCTGAATGCGCTTGCAGGGAAAGTTGGAAAAAGAATGGATACCCTACTGATTCCTCTGGAATTGTTATGTTGTACTTCACGCACAGAATTTTCCGATAAGAAAGCATATATACGGTGGCAAAAAAGGCAGGTGAGTCCTGTCCAGTTCTCATGTCTATTTTTATTGTTTAAATTGGAATAGTGGTGATAAGTGTTTTCTACTTTGATGTTGTTTTGCTGCAGTTAAACATGTTAGCAGAGGGACTTATTAATCATCCTGCAGTTGGATTTGGTGAGGCTGGGCGCAAGGCCAGTGAGTTGAGGAATCTTTTGCTGAAGATTGAAGAATCTGAGGTATCTGTGTCACTCTTTTGGTATTGTTAAATGGTTTACTCTGATCTTATGACAATGAGGTCTCACTGAAATGTAAACGGCCAATATGCCATTTGGATTGGTTTTCTGTAGAATCCATGGTACATTTTTTTGAAATAGAATCCACGGTATATAAATTGAACTATTTTTTTCTTTGAGAGAAAAAGGGAAAGTATTATACATGAAGGCACTAACGGTTGCTGCCCATGTACATCATAAAAAAAAAATTTATATAAATACTCAATCAATATGTCAATGGTATCCCCAAGTTCATCTCCTTTAAGGAATTGGAGGATCTTTAACTAGATATGTAATCGATGAAACTTGTGGTCCCTAAATGTAGCCATTTAACAGTCAATATCCTCTTACACTCTCTGATTTCTTTCTTTTCAAGGGGACAAGAATATGGCATGGGATGAGATAGAAACTTATTTTTGCTCTTGCAGCCAACGAACCTTTCTCAAGCCAACATTTCTGCCTGAATACACCCACTCACCACCCAAGAAATTCCCATAAAACTAAGAGCTGAATCTCATAGCCTTCTCCTCTGAGGGCATCATAAAAGAAGATGGTTATGGGATTTGTTATCCAGCTACAAAGTGGGAACCTTCTAACAATGATGCAACTCCTTTTTCTCAAATTGTCTATGGTTAAGATACGATCCCCAAGAGGCTTCTCAAACATAGATGACAACACGAGACTGAGGCTTTGCATGTCTATATGGGCTTCCAGAGAAAACCATCCTGGATTCTTGAGTAGAGAGAGCATAGTAATAGGATTTCACTGTGAAAGTTCTACTTTTTGTCAACTTCATGCTAGTATGATCCTTCATAGTAGAGATAAGAAAGAATGATTTCAAAGCAGCAAAAAGATTTTCAAGTCCTCTATTTCCTCCTTGGACCCAAGAGACTTGTGGATAGACTCATCCACCTTTCCTCATTGGACCAAGTATCGGGTTCTTAGTTAGTGTCCTAAGCCAATTCATACATGGCCCAATTAAGGAACACATAGAGGCTGTGTAGAGGATTTTGAGATACCTCAAGGTGACCCTAGGAAGAGGATTAGTTTACAAGAAACAAGTTACCTGGAACATTTCTATTTTTTCTAATGCAAACTAGGTGGGAGATATGAAGGATCGAAGATCCATCTTTGAATACTCTTCCTATTCTTTGGGGAACTTAGGTACTTGGAGAAGCAAAAAAAAGCTGTTGTCTCTAGCTGAAGCTGAATTTATGAAGGTATGTGGATAAAGGGACTTCTAAGTGAATTGGGGATAATCACTACGTTACTTATCAACCTTTACTAGGACAACCAGGCTGCCATTCACGTAGCAAAAAATTCTGTGCATCATGACCGAACAGGCACATAGAAATTTACCGCCATTTCGTTTCAAAGAAAATTGAAAATTCTATAATTCAAGTGATCAACATGCCTTAAAAATCACAAAAATGCTGATATTCTCATTAAAGCCCTTCTAAGAATCACCTTTGGAGAACTCAGTGGCAACTGTGTTTGTTCAATATTTACAACCCAGTTTGAGGGGGAGCCTAGGATTCTAGATTAGGAAAGTGATAATGATGAAGAATTCTATGTAATTCTAGATTTAGTTGACTCTTTAATTATTTGGTACCAGTTATTTAATAATCAGATCCTCCAAGATTTCCTCCTAAACTCTGTCCTTAGCTTTCTGAATTACGGACAGAAAGTTAGGGTTTCTTTGTGTAATCTTACTCCTACATATTGCTGTATTTCTCTTCATCAATATACAACAATAATTCTGAGAAAATACTTCAGAATATTACGGGTCTTAAAATTCAAATTTGGGATTGTATGAGGGGTTGGAGGATTTGGCCTCTTAGTGGTCCTTATGGGACAAGTTCTGAAAGTGTATTAATTAGGGGTGTGATGAGATTTTAAGGTGTATTAGATTGAATATGGACTTTGATCGAAGTGTGAAGTTTTGGGCTAGCTGGGTGGTGCGAAAGGAGGCACTTGTATGCATGTTTCCCTATTCTGTTTTTTCTTTGGAAACTGGGCAGGTGGTGTGGAATGTGAACCTCCCTTGCTATCTTTCCTTATGCGCAGTGGATCACTTGTGGCATGATGAGGTAGGGTGGAATTTTGGTAAGGCTTTCCAGTGTGGAGTTCTTCTACTTGCACCTCAAACACTCTCACCTTGCGTAGTGTGATTTTCCTTCGAAACAAATCTGGTTAGACAGTGAGTTTCAGGGAAACTTGTTTATAATTGCTTTCTTTTATTGTTAGGATGTGAAAGGGTGGATCTCAGGATTGAAAATCTTTGGAAGAGACTAGGGAGGGAAGAATTCTAGTAAAAGGGTTGTTTGTCTAAGGCCACAACTAAGATTCCACACAATTTACTTTTCTGGTATTCCTTCTCTTATTGCCTCTGATGCACAATCCTCTGCTTTCTCAACCTGGAATGAGTTGCTTTTGTGTCTATCAGGATATGCAACGGGCTTATTAGTAGGGTATACTGTGTGATAAAAAGTAGGAAAGGTACTTTTTCTTTTGATAGGGTTAGAGACTTTTGGCTCCAGCTCCTGTGTTTTTTTATGTTCCAGAGTCATGTTTTTGATGCTGACGAAGATTTGGGAGACCTTATAGGTATTTTGACTGAACTATAAATTCTCTCCTTTTGTACATGGGTGGCTCCTCCTTGGTGCCTTGTTTGTAAGAATTCATATTTCTCTTTAAAAATATAAATGATAGTTAATTTATGAGTAAGTTGCTTAAAATGTTATTCGATATCTTTCCTTTGGCTTTGAAACTTAATTCTATCTTTCTTCTTGATCTTATGATTATTATTATTTTTTAAATTATCAGTCTCTCCCATCTTCTACCGGTGAACTCCAGCGGACTGAGTGCTTGAGAGCTCTTAGAGAGACTGCCATTCCACTTGCTGAGAGGCCAGCACGGGGTGATTTAACTGGAGAAGTATGCCATTGGGCCGATGGCTATCATCTAAATGTTAGATTGTATGAAAAATTGCTTCTCAGCGTCTTTGATATGCTAGATGAGGGAAAGCTGACAGAGGTTTGTAAATTTTGTTTATTAAATTGTTATGCTGATATAATATGTTAAAAACCAGAATAAAAATAATTAGTCAAACCCGGCTGAGAGGCACAATGATGCTTCTTGAAGATACCTAGAACCTCCCGCTGTGCAGGGATTTACCAACTCGATTTCTGGGATTTAAATTAGCTCTTTTTGATTCTTCTTTCTTGTGTTTTACACTAACCAACGGGAACTAAGTACTTGTTAAGCTCAATAATAGATCCTAGTAAGTATTTAGATTTCTTGCTGTGTGTTTCCTTGTTGCACTGTTTATCAGCCTTGTATAGGTGAGGCTGTCAATTGGATTCATAATATTAGTGTGGCAATTAATGATATCTGTATGTGACCTTTCAATAATACATGCACCTATGCATAAGTATGCAGTAATACATGCATGTATGCATCTATATGCTGACCTTAAAAAACTCATCCATCTAGCAAGTATCAGAAGTACCAGCAATCATGATGCGTTATTACTACTAACTCATTTGCCAGAATAATATTTGGAGGAAAGCTTAAGTGCTAAAAACAGACATTTTTTTTCTCTTTAGTGTCTGCGCTTGCATGGTTTAAATCGTGCTGGAAGTAAGGTTTTAATTCTTTTCTGAATTTAGTCCAATGTCAACTATTTAGGCTTTTAATATTTCAAAAAAAACTAGTTAGGCTTTTAGTATAATTGGTTGTCCAACTGATCTTTTAACAGTTTCTAATAGCCAAATATGCAATGCTTTAGATGACTATCATACGATTTTGGGTTTTGTTACAAATTTCACAATTGGGGATGTTAATTGCGATATTCTTAAGATTCTATCTGTTTCCTAAACAGATAACAAGACTCATTTTTGTGTTTTGTTTTTTGCTTAATTGGTCTAATTGCAAAGCATTTTCTAGGAAGTGGAAGAAATTCTTGAACTTCTGAAATCAACCTGGCGTGTCTTGGGAATAACAGAGACCATTCATTATACATGCTATGCGTGGGTACTGTTCCGCCAGGTATTACTGACAAACTGGAAATGAAAATTCTTTCTTGATGCAAAATTTGCATTCAGTCACTAAAATTACTGTGGGTTTTTTACAAGTATTTTTTCTTTGTGATTACAGTATGTTATCACTAGTGAGCGAAGAATTATACGCCATACCATTGAGCAGTTGAACAAAATACCATTGAGAGAAGAACGTGGTCCACAAGAGAGGTTACACTTAAAAAGTTTGTACGCAAAAATTGAAGGCGAAGAGGGCTGTCGAGAACTATCTTTCTTACAGTCCTTTTTATCACCTATTCAGAAATGGGCTGATAAACAGCTAGGAGATTACCATCTATACTTCTCTGAGGTTTGGTTGTTGGTGGTTATTTCAAATACATTAGTTTCTGGTAAAACATGTTATATCATTTTTGAGGCCAAACTTTCGTGGAATAAACTAGCATTGGTTGGTTCATGTGAACACCGTCTTTGTGGTTTGTGCTGCCTTTGTTCCCTCCCTCCCACCCCCTGCCGCTCAAAATGGAAAAAGAAAAAAACTGTTACTACTATGTTTATTTCGTTATTTATTTTGTTGCTACTATGGTCTTTCATTTGAATTCTTTTTTTTACTACAACTGCTTTTTTTTTGTTATTGAGTAAATTGTTGACAGGCTAATTGATTACAATTAAAAAAAACTCTCTTTTTGATAGACAAAAACAATATTATTAAAGAATGAAAAGAAACAATAATATTATTAATGATGAAAGAAAATACTAATAGAAGAGGATAATATAGGCTGACATAAAAAAAAAGCAAGAAAGTAAAGGGAAACATAGAGGAAAAGCAGGAGAAATTTATGTAAGACTGCCCCTTCCAAATCATTCTATCTGAAATAGCTTGGTTAGAGGCACACCTCAACAAAAGCCACTTGCCTTAGCCCACAAGGAAGCGCATAGAAATCATTCTATCTGAAATAGTTGGTGTAAAATTAACATCTTGGTTAAAAGTTCTGATATTTTGTTCCGATCACAATACCTGGCTGACAAAGAGTGCCCCTCTGCAAGGCACTTTTTGCTTTTTTTTCTTAACTGACCCAACTGTCTCCAAAAGGTGCAAACAGCTTACTCCTTTTGCTCATCCCTTTTGTTAGTCTTCCCTAAAAGTGCGAGCATCTTTCTTCTGCTCCTTTAATTTTTTTCCTTAGATTCGCTTTCTAACTGTAAGATGTTGCTTTGCACTTGGAAAGCTGTTGTAAGAGATTCATTATGCAACTAGAAAGTCCATGCAACTAGAAAGTCTGTGACTTTACTCCGGCCTTTTCATCTTTGCTCTGAGATTTTATTTTAAACTTTAATTTGCTTTGTCATTGTTGAATTTAATTTGCTCCTTATGTACATTCTTATTCTTACATCTTGAGGAACATGCGGAATTTGCTTGGGCAATACCTAGAGCCACAGTTCAATATCATTATATTCATTAGTTTTTTATTATTGTAGGAGTCAGTGATGATGGAGGATATGGTAGCTGTTGCATTGATTACTCGAAGGCTTCTGTTGGAAGAATCTGAAGGAGTAAGCAATCACTTCCTTCATTGGAATTTTCACTCATAATTTAAGTAGCTTCCCTTGGAAAGAAATAAAGGAAAAAACTTACCCTGATTATGGACGCTGCAAATTTTCATGAATTCTTATTGGAAAGTAATTATTTGTCTGGAGGATCTGTTTACTTCGTTGAGTGCAATGCTCTAACATTATGTATCTACTGTCTTTGAGACTGAAATTTCAATTTCCCAATGTTTCATGCAGGTAATGCAATCTACATCTGACATAGATCGAGACCAAATAGAGTCGTTTATATCATCATCCATTAGGAATGCATTCACAAGGGTAATATTATCTCTCATCATCAATCTTTTGCTCCCTTTCGTAGAATTTGTAACAGTAAAGCTTTGTTTAGTACAAAAAGACGTTGGCTACTTGTTTTCTAAATTTAAGTATTTCATTTACAAAACGATGCATGTTAGTTAACAATGAAGAAAAAGTGATGAAAATGATTATGGAACTAGAAAATTTTAAGATACTTTGTATTTTTCGGAGAACTATTTCGTTTGTGCTTTGATTATTTTATAAGAATGTAATTTTTACACAGTTAGATAAATAAAGCATGCGTAGATACACAAATTTAAAAAATGAAAAACTACAATATACTTTTATATACCAAATGAAACTTAATTTTAAATGTTAAAATTATTTTCAGTGGTTGATGTTTTGATTTCTTTTTTGTTTTTCCCATGTGTTTGTGTTAGACAGTCATTGATATTTCCATAAAGCTATCAGAATAACTACTGAACATTTGGAAGACAACATAATTAGCTTTTGCTCATACATGTGGCCCTTGATTAGATAATGAGCTCCCTTTAGCTTCATCTGTTGTCCTATCTAATTTAACTTGAAGCTTAACAAATTTTAATACTAGGTTTCAATAAAAAGGGTCTTTGATTGTCTACACTTTGGAATTTAATAAGGTGAAAACTAGTAACTACTCAAATCTTGCTAGAATTTTCACCTATGTAAGACTTAGTGTTTCTAGGATGTAAGGAAATAACTAGGATTAAACAGTACATTATAAAATTTATTTTTGTATAATTTCTTCTGCAAAAGAAACTTCAATTTGGATGAGAGAGACTTATGGTTCCAGAGGTTTTGTTTTTCTTTTAAGGGTCATCCTCTCATATGGAAGGATGAGTTATTGCATTTTGACTTAGCTAACTTGCTTGGGAAATAAATTACAATTTTAGCTACAGTAGTAAAGAGCTGACTATATTGGCATGTCATCATTTTCTGACAGACATTGCAAGCTGTTGATAAATTAGACACAATGAGCGAGCACCCCTTGGCCTTGCTTGCAGAAGAGACCAAGAAACTTTTGGAAAAGGATTCATCAACATTCATGCCAATTTTTTCTCAGAGGTATCCGCAGGCAACTGCTGTTTCAGCATCACTTGTTCACAAGTTCTACGGGAACAAGTTGGTAAGCTGATAGTAGGTTTTTTTGTGCATTACGAATTTCTAACTACTCATTCATCAATCAATTTTTTCCTTCTAGTTTCTGAGGTTGTAATTTTTAAATCTTCAGAAACCTTTTCTTGATGGTGCTGAGCATCTAACTGAGGATGTTGTATCTGTCTTTCCGGCTGCTGATAGTCTTGAGCAGTATATACTAACAATTATCTCGGCTTCATGTCTTGAGGAAAATGTGGAGGTTTACTTCAGAAAACTAATTCCATATCAGGTATCACAGCTGGATTTTTTTGCTTGAAGTAAATTGTTCCTTTTTACGAGAGAAGTAAACTATTTCCAACTTATGGAAGAAGAATTGAATTTTCTTTCAAATGAGAATGGATTTTGATCTGTGATACAGTTGTACTGTTGAGTGGTAAAATACTTGAGTTGGAAATAGATTAGTCAGTTTCAAACAATAACTTGTTTTCCTACTTTGTGAATAAGTTGCAAGGATTAATTTATTCTTTTGGGATATTGGAGAACAAGTATTTTGCTCATTTACCAAGGGGTTATATAAATGTTTTCTTTTTGTCTCTAAAGGTAGCAAGAGGGTGTTGTCTGAACATGAGACAAGGTCAAAATTTTCTCTTTGAGTAACTTTTCTCATCTAATAGCATGGTGATCTTTTAAGTAAAGATCAATATAGTTCCTCTGTTAAAGGGGCTTCTCTTATCTAATGGCATTGTGAGGATTCAATGCATTCTAAGCCCACGACTAAGAAATTAAGAGATCCTGATGTCAAAGTAAAATAGTTCCTTGTGTTTATCAGTAATTCAGCAGTTATGGATATAGATATCAATGTGCATTAGTGGAAGCAGTAATGACTTGTAATATTTATTAAAATCTTGCTTGTTATACTATCATAAAACTTGGTTCTTTGAATACTGCCAATCTTTTTTCTGCAATTTCATTTCTTCTCCTGTCTAATATGGAGTTTCATGCTTGATTCTTGAAAAATACTCATGTGAGCCTTCAAGTGTGGTATAATTTCTAATGTTCATTTTTCAATATTTCAAATTTCAGTTGTTATCTTTTTCTTGCTCATCTTTCTCCAACATTACTTGCTTCCTTTCATTTTTAGATTGAGCCTATATCTGGTACCTTGGTCTTGCGTTGGCTCAATTCACAGCTTGCAAGAATTTTAAGTTGGGTGGAGCGGGCTATTCAACAAGAGGTAAATATTTAAATAGTTCATATGACCTCACAAACCATGCTTCTAATTTTGCTACTTGTTGGAACCTAATATAGCTTCAGTTATTTGTTCAAGTACTTTTAAAGCAACTACCTTCTCTTCAAGATAATTTTTGGCTTTTCTTTTTCCCTATATTTGGAGGATAGGATGAGCTCCTTTATTTAGCCTCTTCGAGTTTCTTACGAGGTTAAATTGTTGAGATAATTTGTTATCGATTGATTATTTTAGATGGTATTAGAGTTGGCCGTCTTTCAATTCTATTTTTAGCTTAATTTCTTTTAATCAAAGTGGGCTTCTACTTCATTTTTTCAATCTGGTTGCTGCTAGTGAGAAAGCTTGTTAGAGTATAAAGAATAGGTTGAACCTTTTTCTACTAACGTAAGCTTTCGCTATAAGTCGTGCCAAAAGCTTAACTTTTTCAAAATTTATTTTCGGTAACTTTTGTTAAAATTTAGAAAGAAAACTCTAGAGAGAAAAATAGAGGGTGTTCGTATTTGCATGTTATCTTCTCTAGGTCTGGATCCAAGTTGTTCGCATAACCAAGGATGTTCTTGGTGATTGAGAGAAAATGTTTCAATGGGTGATTGAGAGAAAATGTTTCAATGGGTGCTTGAGGAGGCAAGTTGATGCAGAAAAAGAGACCCTAAGGTAGAAATATATCAGGGAGATATTTAGGTGATTTTAATTTTTATGTATTATTGAGATAATTAGTTAATTTAGAATAGTTAAAAGCAACATTTCCTATTTAGTTAGGATGTTATTTAGTTATTATATACCATACGTTATTCAATTAATTAGCTTGCTAGAGATTTTTTCAATCTAACACTCATCATTTTTTTATTAAGAAGGGATTGTTTATGAGTCATTTTGTGCCCACAGTTCACAATAAAATAGAGCAATATAAATAAAAAACAATCATTTACTTGCTACCACTCGGACCTTATTGTTCTAAAACCATGTGCGTAAATAGTATTGGAAGGCCCATTCGTATAACCACTTAGCTTATTAATCGATTACCTTTTAGGGTGTTAGACTTTAAAAGTTTCATAGAAGTTTTTTCCACATTTTTCTCAAATACTCATGTCATAGACCATATTATCCCCATAATATTGGACTGTCGCCTCTACTAACATGCATCAACATCAGGGAGGGAAACTCGACTCAAAAGCTCGTAAGTGTGTTTTTATGGGATACTTTTCAACACAAAAGAGTTACAAATGTTACCGTCCACCTACTAAAAAATGTTATATCTCTGTAGATGTTATTTTTGTTGAAACCAAATCGTCCTTTAGCCAATCTTATTTTTAGAGAGAGACTGTAATAGAAGATAGTGATTTCTTCTTTTTTGATCTTATCTTACCCTCTACATTACCAACACCTCTACCTCCACCATCAGCAGCAAATGACTCTCCTCATTACATCTTAGAACATGACTCTCTTCCACCATCACTAGCAAATTATACTCCTCAATCACGTCACGACCCAGAACATGACTCTCCTCCATCACTTTAAAACCTAGAAAAAGATCTAGTCCCAATGACTTTATCTGACCCAAGATTCTCTCAGACGTATTTAAAGAAGAAAAAATTTGGATCCTAAATCAAAGTACATCTAAGCATAAGTTGAGCTCTAGAAATGAGATAACTTTTCAGAACTTTTTGTCATCTGACATTGATATACTAGTTGTAATTCAAAAAGGAATTAGGAAATGTACTAAAGGCAAACTTTACTCAATCTCAAATTTTGTATTATTTGACAAGTGTTCACCATCTCATAAGAATTTTCCTGTGAGTTTAAATAAAATATCTATCCCTAACACATTATTAAAAGATTATCTTGTGAAAAATGAAAAAATACTATAAATGTTGAAATGTAGACATTGAAGAAGAACTAGACATGAGAGGTGGTAGACCTACCTAAGAGAAACAGACACGTGGGATACAAATGGATCTTCACTATAAAGTACAA